CATATCTTTTAGCCTTTTGTTACTGTCCATGGGGTTTTCTTGGCAAAAATACTGGAGTGGGTTGCCATTTCCTTCTCCAGGGGGATCACACTTGGTCTGAGTTCTCTGCTGTGGCCTGTCCGTCCTGGGTGGCCCTCCATGGCATAGCCCACAGCCTCATCGAACCACGCAAGCCCCCTCGCCACGACAAGGCAGTGATCCATGAGGGGGCGATCAATGGTGGTGGTGGTGGTGGGGAAAGGTTTTCTCAGCCGGAGACTCTGGAGAGTCACTGCCCCTCCGCGAGGGACCGAGGGTCTGCCTCACTCTAAGCCGGCTTCAGAGGCACGCAAGCACAACAGCCTTTCTAGGACATACTTGCCTGCCCTTGGGAAGGTTTTCTCTGCCTGAGACTCTGGAGAGTCACTGCCCCTCCGCGAGGGACCGAGGGTCTGCCTCACTCTAAGCCGGCTTCAGAGGCACGCAAGCACAACAGCCTTTCTAGGACATACTTGCCTGCCCTTCCTGGGAGGAGCTTTTATCCTCACAACAGCCCTGTGAGGTAGGTGAGCGTGAGCAAAAGTGAGTGGCTCAGGGTTGCCCCCGGAGCCGAGTGGCTGAGCGGGGATCTGAGCCAGCATGGGGGGGGGGGCGTCTGCATGTCAGGTGGGGCCTGGGGGGGGAGTCTGAGTTCGAATCCCCACACACCATGTGGCTTGCTGGCTCTCTCTCTCTCTCAGCGTCACCAGGGATTTTGTGAGGATCGAATGGGCGAGGAGCACATCCTTCGTGCCCCCTCCTCCGGCTCCTAGGGGGAAGGACAGGGTGACATGGAGAAAGAGACGGAGCCCAGGTCCCGTCACTCCCGCACCCTGTTGACTTCCAGGGTGCTTGGCCCTTTCTCACCAAGACAGACCTCCAGAGCAATAAGATCACTACAGAAAAGTAGAGGACAGTGTAGCAAGACCAAGGTGCCACGGACTCCCACCCGATGCGCTTTGTCGAAGTGGCTTCCTGAACGATGCCCTCCAGGTCCGCCTTGGCGCTCCTCTGCCTCTCGCTGGGTGGGGCCACGGGGGTTGCAGACAGAAGGCCCTCGGCCCCCTCGCCAGGGAGCTGGCACCGGGGAAGGTCGGTTCCTGCTGGGATTGCAGCCAGGCAGAGCGGGTAGCGCAGTGCCGGAGGGGCCAGGCCTCGCTCTCTCTCTCTCTCTGGGCATAAGACGGCTTCCAAAGGGGAGCTCTCTGGGAGGGAGGAAATCATGAGCCGGAAACTGGGTACCTTGTCTGCTGTCGAGCAGCACGTTTTCCCCGGCCAGACGTCCGTCCCAGGAGGGGATACCCAGAGACGGTGTCAAACTGGGCAGGGGTACACCACAGGCATTTTGTGCCTCTCGCGCTTCTGAGCACCCAGAACGACAGCCACCTGTCTGAGGTGGGGCTGGAGCGAAGGCAAGAGCTTTCCTACGGCTGCCGTAGCTCCCTCTGAGTTGTGGAGTCTTCCTGCAAGCAAAAAGTCTACTTTGTGAGCTGCTGGCATTATTTATTTATTTATTTTATTCAATTTATACCCCGCCCTCCCCGCAATGCAGGCTCAGGGCGGCTTACATAGGGGCGAACGCCAATATAAAACATAATTAAAACCATTTTAAAAAAAAACATTAAAGCCGTGAGCGAGCGATTTGGCGGCTGCATCAATTAGTTTGCTCCGGAGCCCCATCCCTTCCTGCGCGAAGACAAAAAATGTGTGAGCCGGGGGCTAAAAAACTGTGAGCTGGCTCACACTCACTCAACTTAGAGGGAACACCGCTGCCTCCATATGGGGTGCTTTCCAAACCGGAAGGCTTTTTTGGGTCATCCCCTTTCCAGTTCCCACCCCCGTTTTGCTCCAGTCCTGTCCACAACGGCTTTGTGATGCACTCTTTGGAAAGAACACAGCTCACGAGCCTTTGCACGCTATCCGGATGGGAAGGGGCCTGTGTGGCTGAAGGCCTTGTCCACACCAGGGCCGTTGTCCTTCTGGCTGCCATTTTCCTTGCTGTAGCATCAGAAGGCTTTCTGGGTCTTTTTAAAAAGGGAAATCCCTGTTGCACGAGGCTTCCGCACTGCGTTGCCACAATCCCCTTGTTCCTGTGATTTCCCAGCATCCAACTGTTAACAAGTACATCTCTAGCACTTTTTTGTTGCGGAGATATAAGGGGAAAGGTGCAGGCAGTTGTTATCCAGACAGCCTAGAAGGGAACGGGAAGGCGAAGCTGCAAGAATGCTGGAGCAGGGCAGGAATTCATGGCCCAGCCAGTCACGCGGGTTCCTCACTGCTGCGGCAAATGCCTGCTGTGGCGGTAATGAAAGGGAGGAGGAGACGCCTTGCCCAGTGGGTGCCATCCAAAACCACCCTGTTTGCGGCAGAGGTGATGTTAGAACCTCTGGCCTCCCAGACCGGAATGCTTTTGCTCAGCCCCGATGCAAGAAGAGATTGGATTTCTACCCCATGGCCCTTCACTACCCAAAGGAGTCTCAGAGCGGCTGACAAACCCCTTTCCCTTCCCCTCCACACAACAAACACCCTTTGAAGTAGGTGGGGCTGAGAGAACTCTGACAGAAACTGCTCTTTTTCAAGGACAGCTCTAACAGGACTACGGCTTGCCCAAGGTCATTCAGGCAGGTGCAAGTGGAGGAGGAGTGGGGGAATCGAACCCGGTGCTCCCAGATCAGAGTCCGCGCACTTCACCACGACACCAAACTGGCTCTCACCAAACCAACTGCTCTGTATTTATTCTCTGGTGGACACTGCCTCGTGGCCCTTCCCTATAAGGAACGTCTGAGGAGTCTGAGACGTCTCAGTTTAGAAAAGAGACAATGGGGGGAGGGGGGAGAGACCCGGCAGTGGTTTACAAAATTATGCACAAGATAGAGAGTCGACAGAGAGAACTTCTCCCTCTCCCAAAATACGAGAACTGGAGGGCATCCAATGAAGCGGATGGGCTGTAGGTTCAGGACAGACCAAAGGAAAGACCTCTCTGTACACAGAGACTGATTACAATGTGGAACTCCCTGCCCCTGGCCGATGTAGAGCTACATCATCACTACATCACTGCTGAGGGTTGTAGCGATGGCCTCAGGCACAGACAGTTTGAAAAAGGGGATTAGATGGATTCATGAAAGATAGATCCGAGGGGATCATCCATGTTCAGAAGCAGTCAACCTCTGAATCCCAGAGCCAGGAGGCAACATCAGGGGAAGGCCTCGTCCCCTCTGCCCTGTTGCTGGCCCTCCAGAGGAACTGGCTGGCCCCTGTGCGAGACGGGAGGCTGGACTGGAGGGACCCTCACTGGTCTGGCCCAGCAGGGCTCTTCTGGGGTTCTTATCGGGGGAAGGCCTCGGCCTCTCTGCCCTGTTGCTGGCCCTCCAGAGGAACTGGTTGGCCACTATGTGAGACGGGAGGCTGGACTAGATGGACCCTCCCTGGTCTGATCCAGCAGGGCTCTTCTGAAGGCCTCGGCCTCTATGCCCTGTGGTTGGCCCTGCAGAGGAACTAGTTGGCCACTGTGCAAGAGAGGATGGGGGACTGATCTATTGAGGTTAACTGGTCTGGTCAGCCCAGTTACCCCTAGTTAACAGAGTGCTTAAATAAAGCTACAATTGCAGGAGCGTCAGTCTACCAGGTGACTCAGCTAGGCAGAGCCACGTTGCAAGTTTAGAAGAGAAACACTTCTCTCTTTATTTGAGAAGCACACTTTGGAGAGGAAAGAGCAGGGACAGGGCAGAGGACTAACTTACTAGCTGAAGGATGGAAGCAGATGGCGAGAGACGCATCTGCCTCATGGTGCCAAGAGAGGACCGCACGTCCCTGTCTCTCTCGGTGTGTGCAGGGAGGGAGCTCGTCTTCAAGCCAGTGAGAGAGCGGAAGGAAGGGGAAACTGGTCTCAGAGAGCATAATCTGCATTTCAAAGGGGACAGGGGCAGAAGAGTAGAGACAGGAAGAAAGGTCAGTGCGCCTGTCTAGCTATCTAGCCTCTCTTGCCAGGAAGCCTGGAGGCCTGAGACGGGGGACATCTCGCACCTGGAACTTCCCACAAGATGGAACCTCACTGGTCCGATCCTTTAGGGCTCCTTCTGAGGTTCTTGTGCCCCTGTGGCCACAGAGGGGCAGCCGTGGCATTTAGACCCCCTAGACGCAATCCACTTGGAAGGTTGCTCAGTGGGATACAGCAAAGGTCTCTTTGGAGGGAAGGGGCCGGGCCTGGCGCTGAGACCCCTGCTCATGAGCAGCTTCTGCGAGGCCAGGAAAGACACTTCCCGCCAGCTCCCCCTTTCTCCCCAGATGTGAGTCACCACAGAGTTGGGCCAAGGACTCTGGACCAGAGGAGAAGGCCCACCACCATCAGCTTGTGAGGAGCCCAGAGTCTAGACTGTTTCTGAGGGGCAGCCGTGTTAGTCTGTGCCAAAATGAAGCAGAGGTCCGGGGGGCACCTTAAAGACTGCGTTTCTTCCAGCAGGAGCTTCAAATGCTATGAAGAGGAAATCACATTCCATAGGTCTAGAGGGGACATTACCAAAGTGGGAGGTGGGGGGAGAGACTGACTGATTTTTGTTCCCCGATTCTTTGGGAGTTTCTCACTTGCACGCAGGGACTCCTCCTCACGTGCACGCAGGGACTCCTCCTCCACCACCACCAAAGCTCTCTGGGCATGGCTGGGATGGCGGGGGGGGGGGAAAGGAAGCAACGTGGGTCCTGGATCTCTTTTCCGAGTGCTAACCCTGTCTTGTGCCTGTCTCCCCACCACCAAGATTCACCCCCTGCTCCTCCGAGAACGCCAGAGGGACCCTGCGCGGACCAAGCTTTTACGTCGAACCGTCAGCGTCCCCGTGGAGGGGCGACCCCAGCCGGAGCACGGTAGGGACCCGCAGTGGCGCTTAAGGAGGAGGGGGTCGGCTCTCTGGGGACGGGGGGGGGGATGGCGTGTGACTCGTGCCAAGGACAGAGGAGGGGAGCTGCTGCGTGGGGCCTCCCCCAGAGCAGCCCTACAAGGGGCCTGGCCAGACTGACGGGACGGCTGCTCCGGGCAGGACATGTCTGCAGAGAGGCCTCCCCCCAACAGCCCCTGAGGGCTGCCTGTCCTCTGCTCTTGTTGGCTGTGAGGCCTGGGGACGGGGAAAGGGGTCCTGGCCCCTACGGAGGAGGGGGCTCTCTTCTGGCAAACTCCAGGTCAGCATGCCTTCGGAAGCTTCCTCCTCGCAGAGAGGAGTCCTGGCCAGTGTTCCCTCTAAGCTGAGTTCGTGTGAGCCAGCTCAGTTTTCTAGCCTCCGGCTCACACGTTTTTGTCTTAGTTCAGGAAGGAGGGCTCCAAAAGCAAACTAATTCATGCAGCAGCCAGATCGCTGGCTCACAACGTTTAATGCCAGTAGTAGCTCACAAAGCAGAATTTTTGCTCACCAGACTCCACAGCTTAGAGGGAGCCTTCGTCCTGGCGGGGGGCCCTGGCTACCCTGGCGGCGGGATGCAGCCCCACCCCCCCACCTATCCACACGCCCCGGCTGGGGAGCAGCTCGGAAAGCATCTTGGGGGGGGCAAACCCACAGAGAGGAGGGGGAGGGGGAGGCATGAGAAGCCCCGGGGAGTCAGCCCGGTCTTCCTCCTCAGGGCTCCACCGGATCCCCCTCCCTGCCTGGATCCCCATTTCAAGGCCAGCCCCCCTTCCTGAGCAGGGCAGGAGACCCCGCGGGGCCGGTCAGGAGGGTTGTGGCCAGTGTGGAGCGCCCCCCCCTCCAGCACCACCGGGCTGCTCCCCCCCGCAGAGTGGCTGTCCAGGTAGCCCCAGGGCAGTGCCTGCCTTGAGCGAGAGAACCAGCTCAGAAAGAGAGAGAGAGGGAGGGAGGGAGGGAGGTGGAGATTCCCATGAAGCGGGATCCGCACCCGTCACCACCCCACTGCGGGAGCCTGCTGCGCTTGCATGGAACAGCGGTCTCCACGTGGCACGGCTTCTCCCTGGGCGACCTGCTTTGCTAGGGGAGAGGAGGCCCAGAAGCCACGAGGGACGGCTGCACCCCCCCTTTACGGGACACCCCCTCCCCCCAAGTCCTGCAGAGGAACCGACTCCGGGTCCCTCCCCAGACCCCCCCCGCTGCCTCCTCCTCTTCCTCCTGGCTTCAGTCTTGTTCTGGGGGGAGACATTGGGGGAGGGGGAGGCT